GGGGGGGTCAGATTGGCTATTTTCGGCAAAAACCCTTGATTTTATAGTGTTTTTATCTAAAAAGTTGTGCAATTATCCATCAGGATGGAGTGGTGCAAGGTTGGCTCAGCTCCTCCAAGAGGCTGCTCTTGTGGCTGTAAGGAACAAACATGACTCAATCCTTCAGTCAGATGTCGGTGAAGCTGTTGATCGGCTAACCTTGGGTCCTAAACGTCTTGCATTAGAGTTGGGTCATCAGGGGCAATGCCGTCGAGCCACAACTGAAGTGGGAACTGCACTGACTTCCCATCTTTTAAGAAGAATAGAGAATGCGAGCATTGAACGCTGTGATATCATATCGGTTCATCCTCGTGGCCAGGTTCAGAATTTCTTATTCAGAGACTTGGGGCAAACCATAAGCTAGCTTATTTATTGAGCTTATTGGAAAACCCCGTTTGGTTAGCCATAAGCTAGCTTATTTATTGAGCTTATTGAAAAAGCCTTGCTTGGTTAACCCTAAGCTAGCTTATTTATTGAACGCTTTTTCAAGCCGCATTTCAATAAGATCAAGAGGCTGTTTCTTTTTCCATTGCCACTAATATTTTTCCAATTAATTTTTGAACATGCCCTTTTAGGTCATTTACATTGTCATGCTAGATTATTAGCCAACAGCTAGCTTATCAGCCAGTTGGCCAAACATACGCTTAAAAAGTACTGAAATTTACCGTACATAAATGCATTCATTTTTACCTAATGTTTTTTTGTTCTTGATTTTTTATGCATGCAGACCCTATCGCAAGTGGTATTCAGTCGACTTGATGATGAGAAGTATTTATTTGAGCGCCGGCCACAGTTGCTTCACCGCCTTCAGGTCTGAACTTACACTCTTATCTATTTATATTGTATATTGCATCGAGGAAAGCTTGGTTGCAAACCTGATTTCCGTTGTGAACTGGAGGACAAAGGAGAGCACAACATGTGTCCCCATTTGTTTCCATTCATCATGAATAATGTACGTGAATTTTTTACAATATTCATGATGAATGTTACACCAATCATGATGAATATCCAGGGACACATGGCGTGCCCTCCTTTGTCCCCTGATTCACACTGGAACTTAAGTTTGCATAAGTGCATCTCCAACAGTTTCTCCATAATTTCTCCAAAAATAGAGAAGAAAAACTGAAAATCTCTAAAAAATTACATTCGGCTCCAATAATTTCTCTACATTGGAGATTCTAACATCAATTATCTATCCTATATAATAAAGCATTTAGGTTTTTGTTGTTAAAAACTCCTAATTTTTCAAGAGTACAACTTATAAAACATTAAGTACAAGTTGTTAATGCATACAAAGTCTTTCAATTTCTAAAATATTCCCATTTTGCCTTTCTTGAAATGTTAAAACAGGGTTCTTGGAAACCTCTACTACCCTTCTGAAATGTAACGTCAATCAACAACATAATACTTGAGATTTTTGGAAACTCACCTTACAATTATTCCATTTTCAAAAAACAAAAATAATCATAAAAAATAATTATAAAACAATCAAATATTACATTTTGGTGCATCGCATATGTACACTTCTAGTATTATTAAGACAGAAGGGTACTCGCGCAATGCACTGAGATACATCTTGATTTTAATGTTTCGTTTTATGTTTTGGGTCTATCAATATTATGATGCTATGTGGTTCTGAGAAAAAGAAAATGTTTTTATTTTTGAATGAAATATAAATTTGAAGATATCATAAAATTTTGAAAAAAATTAGTGATATTAGTATTAAATTAACTATTTAAAAGTTCTCGTTTTTATGTAATTTCTTTGATTCAAATTTTTATTATAATTTAATTG